AACTCGGGAATCCACCTGGTGGACCCCTAAATACAAATCTTTAGATAAATTTACAGAATTAAAATCCAAAACCATAATAGGAAGGAAATCCTATGTAACCGGTAGAGTGAGTGTCTGTATCTGCATCAACACGATCAAACTCTAAGCTGGAACTGGCGAATACCTGAAAAATAGGAGTGGGTCAGGCCCACATGCAAGTTCCAATCTACTACAATCCGTACATAAACCCGATACCAGATACATCCTAGATAGCTCGGCAATATCTACAATAGTCCATATATATATATATATATATATATATACACACACACTATAGGATGCTCATTAGCCTATAACATAGTTCAGCCTCGGTAGAAGGTGACATATAAAACACGTTTTTCAGCGGCCAAGTACCTAGACCTACCAGGGAACATTAGCTATATCTAGCTACTCAACCTTTGAAATATATGCACCCTAACCGTGATCAGGAGACTCAAGCTCGTATCATGGTACCATAAATATATATATATATTCCTTCCTAGTGCAAAAAGATAAAACAAATATCCATTATGTCGTTCAACTGTTTTAGTTGACACGACATGCATCCATGTAGGATTTAACTGTTTTAGTTAATCCATTCCTTATGTATGAAGGGGTAGGACTTAGCTTTTTGATCTAATCCATCCCTGATATGTCACCGTCCCATACCGGTACATATAATGCAAATGATCCTTGAATGATGCAACATTTTATGCAGTTCATCAAATCATATCCACGTAATCCAAATAGTTGATATACAAAATTTAAATAGTTCATCAACTTGAAAATTCAGAATCCATCCATATAATTAACGAGACAAAGTTTAATAGTTCATCAAGTTAAGATCCAGTATCCATCCATGTCATTGAAAATTTAATTCATTTAATTAAATTTCAATTGACCCATAGTACAGTCCAGCAGTTGATAATATTAACAATAGTAAGAGTCAATTATAAAGCTGAGAATGACAAACTATAACTCAGAAAATCCACACTACTAACCATTAAAATAACGATTAAAATAACGATCTCCATATATATCATTGCTGAAATATATAGAACAGTTTAACCATTAAAATAACGATCTCCATTTAATTAATGAAACCTAATTTATTAGTTCCTTAATTAAAATCCAACCTATGCACAAATAAGGTCTAACAGACACATGACCCTATTCTTTACCCAACATAGATTTCAAAACCATCCTCCAGTCATCTAAGTTGCTAAATTAAGTTTACACAACTAGATACTTTATAATCACCAACAACGTGTGTCGTTACTTAAAACTCCCACACTGTGAAAACCTTTAGCATATTAGAATAAATTATGCATTGTGAGTCCTAATATAGCATAATATCCTGTTTAGACACCACGCAACAGTCCGTTAAATTTTTAAAACAAGACTTAGCGAATTAGTCCTTCCTATCCGTTAGCAGCGTACAAAGTCGCATATTTTTACCTTGTACCGTTGTATACTTCCCTACAGTTAATTCCATGAGTACTAAGACATTAATTTATTAGAAGTGGCTCTAATATAGCATGGTGTAATGTTTGGAATCCATGTTCCAACTCTTTTAATTGCTAGACACAGTTTAAGCAATTAAACCTTTACAATCCGTTATGTCCGTAAACAGTCTGCGACTTGTCTTAGATTTTCCCACCGTTTAATACATTAGCATATAAATAAATTAATGCATCCTAGGGCTCTAATATTTCATGAATTAATATATAACTTCATCTGCCTAGCTGTAATACCCCGATAATTTTAAAAGATTTATTAATTAGGATTAATTATTTTATTTTATTTTTCAATGATTTATTTTATTTTATTGAGTGCTAGATTAATTATCTTATTTTAATTAAGTTATATTTCGTGATTATGTATGATGATTGATTGTTTGTGTGGTTGATTATTGATTGAATTATTGGTGTGTTGATTTTATTGGTATTATATGACTTAGTTGTAAATTCTTGTTTGTTTATGTGCTTCATGTAATTAGTTATTTTAATTTCGGTATTTAATTAATTGTCTTATTTATTTAAATTAATTGGATTGGGCTTAAGGAAAGTTGGACCAAAAGATGTGGTCTTGGGCTTGTATGAAACCTTATTGGGTTAATTAATGAAGGTCCGTGGTTATTTAATTATTTAAATGATCACTTTTGTATCAATTATATTTATATATATATATATATATATATATAATTATATATAAATATAATTAATTAATAATTGTTATGGACAGATATATATATAGATATATATTTATTGATATTTATAAGTATATATGATTTAATTAACTAATGAGTTAATTATGGAAGGAATATATATTTATATATATATATATGTTTATAGATATAAATTATTTAAAGATTATTATGTTAATTCATAATACTAGTTGGAATAAGATTTGGAATTTAAGGTGTATAAAAATACACATAAGGCTTTAGGGTTAAAGGTTTTACACGTTAGAAAAATAAAACAGACAGAGAGAGAGGAAGAAGAAGGGCTGACAAGGAGGAGGTCGGATCTGAAAAGGAGGACGTCGGAATTGGAAGAGATAATTAAAGCTTAAAGCGTCGGTTTCGTTTCGAAACCTTCAGGCGAGTTTTCTCTAACTTTCCTCTTAGAACTCATAAGGATTTCACCTTGAGTATCAAGGCTTTAATTAAATTTATTTGTTTAAAAATTATGGTTAGATCGGAATAATTAAAAAGTATAAACTATTATATTTGATTTTTAGATTATTGGATTTTAATTGATATATATAGGTGTTATGTATATTTTAAAATCAATCTATAGGTGGATTTGTGACCCAAGAGAGTTAATTATGGTTTCTTTATTTTCTAGAATTGTTCTGTAATTTTCTGGAATTTTTTTGATATTTTTAGGCATTTATTAGGATTTATTTTCCTATTATTTGTTAGGAAAATAATTTTATATATATATATATATATATATATATATATATACTAGGTAACTGGCGCATGTGGATTGGCGGCACAATAAAGAATTGATCCAGTGCGGCGCGGTGTAGGATAATAGGGTGTATACGCCAATTAGGGCCATTTGATTAATTAAACTTATGTGAATTGATATGGTGTATCGCGGCGCATAAAACTTTGGTGCGCATGTGTATCTGGACCATAGAAGTGGTCTGGTCAACTATGGGATTATTTGGTGTATTGCAAACCATGAGAAGATGGTGCACTCGCTGATCTGGACCTTAGATCTATTATAGTTAATAGAAAATAATCTAGTGTGAGCGTGTTCATTTGCGCACTCATTTATGACCATTGGATGCGGCATAAAGGAAGTGATGGATTCAGTGTGGTGAGCTCACAGTAGCTGAAAGAGCTTAGCCAATACCAGCACACAAGGAGGCTTGAATCCAGCGCGTGCAAGTGCATAGTAAGCACGTGGGCGCGCGTGGGAAACTATGTTGGCCTAATTCGACACTAGAAATTAAAACGGTCATAACTTAGTCATTTTAAATCGAAATTGGGTCATTCTTGAGCTCAAATTCAAGGATTTTTCGTCTTCTTTCCAATGGTACCAATTTCATTATCAGATTCCCATCCTACTAGGAGATATTTATGTTTTAGTGAGAAAGTGTCGGAAAACTATTTAAACCAATATGGAGTATTTAAAGGAAACTATTTCTGACATATTTAGTTGCACTAATTTGTGTAAATATAATAAATTAATAATTTGTTATGGAAGGAAGTGTATATATATATATATATATATATATATATATATATATATATATATATATATATATATATATATATAATTATTTATATATGGGTATATATAGTTTAATTTGTCTATGAGTTGTATGGAAGGATGAATATATATATATATATATATATATATATATATATATATATATGTATGTATGTATATTGATTTTAAATAATCAAGAATTATTAAAGAAGGTGTTAAACACATATATACATTAAATAACATATGTGTAGGTATATATATATATATAAATCATTTAAGATGATTAATATTATCATTCTTATTTGGCATATCTTAATAGGCTGGTTGTTAAATTAATGATATGCGTATAATATGCATGTGATGGCTATGTATGATTTAGCGTATTGTTAATTTTAAAGTTAATTCATGGTTAAAGTGTGGGCATGGATGAATTGTCAAATGATTAAATATATTACCTAAATATTTGTATGAATAGAATACATATATGGAAAGTATGGATGAATTGCTAATTAAATGTATGAATAAATATACCTGTGGAGGCATGGTTGAATTGCCAATGTATAAATATACATACACGGAGGCATGGTTGAATTGCCAATGTATAAATAAATATACTTATGGAGGCATGGTTGAATTGCCAATATATAAATAAAAATATTTACAATGGCATGGTTGATTTGCCAAAGCATAATTACGTTGTTATGTGTTAGATGATTAAAATATCATCTATGGTTGTTGTATGTATGGATTGGATTAGGGTTAGATATTCTTAAATGAGAATAGTTTAGTACTTACTGGTTAGTGTATTATTTTACATTAATAAAATAATATTGGGGAAGACGTGGATGATTTGTCAAAACTTGGATTTTGGATATGTGATTTAAACAATTAAAATCATTATCGGGTTGGGATTAAATAGAGTATTTCTTTTATTATAATTTGTTGTTTAAATGATTAAACAACTGACTAGGATGGGATTAAGGTTAAAGGAGTTTTTATAAAATGAAATGGTAGATTGGTCTAGGTATGAATATTATTTTAATAATTATTTAATAGGTATGGAAATTTAATAAACCTATCAATGGATGTGATTAGTATAGTATATATAATTATATATAGACATGTATATCGTGCTTTATTAAAGTTAAAACTTTATTAGGTTTGGTTTTGATCAGAGATGATCTGCTTATTGGTTTTCAGAGGCCTGGTAGAGTGAACTTGCTCGTAGGGTTTAACCCACGATTTATTTTTCAGGTTATTAGAGGTTCCAGTCTCGAGGTTGAGGATCCGCAGCTGGGAGACTGTCATTCGTCTATTCATCTTGTATACTTTTAAATAGTATTGGATTATTGGATAATGTTTTAAGGGGTCCTTGAGTTATGGGATTTCCGAATTGTAATTGTTGGAGAATCATTAAGTAATATTTATTTATTGGTTTTCTTCAGCGGTTTATTTATTCTTTATTATTCTTCTTTGGATTCCGTGCTTGTTTAAATACTTTAATTGGTTTGATATCCCCTGATTTTGTGCGCGGACTTGATCAACCCGTGTTCCGAAATTAGGGGGTATTACACTAGCCCAAACACAGCTCAGAAAAATCACCAACGAGCCAAACAACGCACAAACCACTCCAGTAAGTATATAGAATCACAGAGCCTGCTCTTAGAAACCTAGAGCAGGCTCTAACCTGCATAGAGCTGGCTCCCATAACCCTTGGAGCCGGCTCTAATAGAGGGGGAGCCGGCTCTTTGCTTCCTAGAGCCGGCTCTCTCTCTTTGAGAGCCTCCTCTGCTTCAACTGCTTCGTTCTGCTTCGTCCGGTTGTCGTCTGTGATTGCGGCGAAGTCCAGTGTCCTATTCCAGACCTTTTTAAGATTATTAGGGTTCCATTAAAGCTCTTAAACCCCTAGAGACTCCTCCTATTCCAGTGTGAACAAATTGACAAAAAACTTAAACTACACACAACAGCTTATGCAAGAATAAGTTTGAACGTTAAAAAAACACAGAACAGATTACCGAAAACATCTAGCATGCATAAAGTTCATTTTTAAACGTTTAAATAAGTTCCTGGAGTCTATATAAGATGCACAAAACACAAGTTTACAGGAGAGGAATAGACTAAAACTTGCCTTTAGGTTTCGGTTTGAAACTTTTCAACACCGTTGCTAAATTCTCCAATGAACTGTAGGCTACCTGCAACTGCAACTCTCCTACGGTTCCAGTTTTATCTCACCCTCAACCTCTTCCTTCCTCTGTGGTACACCCTCAGTCCATAGTTGAAAGCTTAATTGATTCGCCCAGTTTTCCCTCTGTGTTTTCCCTTCCAACCCTCTCTGTTTTCCCTCTCAATACACTTTTACGTGAAAAAGGATTTGTCTCAACCCTAGCAGACTTATAAGAATATATATATAGCCGTCCCAGGTTTAATTAAAACCTAACCTAAGTTGGCGTCCAAACCATATAAAAATAAAATCCTAATCCTATATTAAATTCAAGACCAAATAAAACAATTAATGTAGACAACTAACCAAATAAGTCATATAAAATGCACGTCATTTATCATCAAATAATTAAATTAAAAAAAATCTCAATTCCACAATTAAATTAAATACACACAAATAGTAATAAATCAATTAGGTAAATAAAACAATTAAGCTAAACAAATAACAAATAAGTCCAATTATTAAATTAAAAAAAAATGAAATACAAATCAAAATTGAAAAATTAAATTCCCATTCCCATTTTATCCTTTTGAAAACTAGGGGTATTACAGTTAGCCCACCTGCTCCATTGCTTGTTATCAGACAATGAACATATAAATATATACAATTCATCTCTAAAAAAAATTAGCATGTGCAAAACAACTAAAGTCAAAAAGTGATTGAGTGGGACCCGCTAATATCCCATCATCATCAATTCAATCTATTTTCCTCTCTCACTTCGGCTGGCAGCCCATTGTCAAACTAAATTACATTTTATACATATATATATATATATATATATATATATATATATATATATAAAGGTAACTAAAACCAAATCAAGCAAATAAATAAATAAGTAAATAAAAAAAAATCCTGAAAATCCGGATTGTCACAATCTCCACCACTTAAAAAGAATTTCATCCCCGAAATTCGAATCTAACAATTATCACATAACCGAAAATATCTATAATCACAAAACCAAATCCATAAATCCTTACCCCAGGCGATATGAGATACTATGATATGTAGGACATTGTGGTAGCTGCCAGTGCTAGCCACCTGCCCACACACTCCATAATCGTTGTGGTAGCTAGTCGATGCATCACCCGCCCACTAAAAAAAAACAAACAATAACAAACCATCGCAGTAGCTGTCAGTGAACGCCATCCACCCACACACCCCCGGCTATGAGTGGTAGCTAAGCAGTATTACACACTCGCCCACACACACCCGTTTACATCATCACTACACTTATAATTCCAACTGGGTATGAGCTCTGTCAGACCAAGCACTAGCTTTCTAAAGCATAGCTACACCGTCATATATCAGTACAAGAGACCACCAACCGCACCATTCAGTAATCATTACACTTAACAACCTCAAGATGACTAAATAATGAATCTCCCAACGACTACATAAACATGAGTCACCAGAACAATAAAAGATACTATCCTGCACTAAAAACCCTAAATCCTCAAAACAAGATCTGTAATAAACAATGATAACAACATAGCATCGAACGTCACAATCATCAATTAGCATAGGAGAACTTTAATCTTCTCAAAAACACCATACCAGATAAACAACTCCATGTCAACATTCTGTTCAATTCTTACCTCTTCAAAACACACAATACGACGGTCTCATACCCGAAACCTCAAAACCAAAGTAATTAAGATTCTGGAAGAAGAGCCGCAGATTCCACTGCTACCAGAACTTAGCCTTGAGCACATTGCTATTCAAAGATTGAATAAAACACCATTTTTGCTCCTTTTTGGCCAATGAACCTGAAAATATATAAAAACGTGCAAATAAAGATAATTTATAAAGAATAATCAAATAATGGATTTAACTAATGCAGCTAAAGGCGCTTGAATATGCAATATTCGGCGCTTATCAATATACATATACAAAAAGAATGAAACCTACAATGCTACACAAAACATGTTTGCATATACCATGCTTATTACTTGTCACATTAGCATTTAAATTAGAACTGCACATGCCGTGCCTACCACTTTTCGTCACCATACTCCTTATACACAATCAACATGCTTTTTTTCACATTTCATTTACACGGCTAGATCATCTAACTATTCCTCGTATATGGCCATGTAACATAAACTTTAGCATGTAAACATATAAACGTACAAACACATAGCAAGGTGGCATGTCTTTCAAAACCGTAAGCACATAAACATGTAAACAAGTAAACAGTTAAGCATGCTTTTCAACTAACAAAACACTTTAGCAAATAGCCACATAACTGATACAAATGACTTCCCACACAACCCTAGGTAAGCCTCTACCCGTCGTCCTAATGGTATTCGACCCATTGCTCTGATACCAAATTTGTAACGACCCGAACCCGTAGGTCCGAACCATTAGCCGAGTCCTTAACCGAACACGAGGTTAACTAGGGACAATACCATTCTTTCCTACGTCAATACATATTATACGTGTCATTCCAGGTTTATAAAAAAATAATTAATAATAAATAAATAAATAAATAATAATATGGGATTATAGTTACAAAATATGTCAAAACGTTCTACTAACCCTTTGAACCCTGTGGAGGAGCGTCGTCTGCCACTTGCCATCCGTGTCCTGAAAAATATTAAATATAAGGGGTGAGCAAATTGCTCAGTAGGTGGTGCCTAAGACACACCTCTTATAACCCCGTGAATCTAAATAATGAATAGGAACAGAGGGTAGGGGTCATACTATGCCAGGAAAGAATACATTATTAATTCCAATTCCAAAATAACAAAGCCGAGCCATTATATATGATGCTATGAATGTCACTCCCCATTTTTAAAATCCAAATCCATCACTTTTCAAACTGTTAATATAACCCGTCCGTTGGTGACTCTGCAGCGACACGGGGGAAGGATTGGCTACTATCCCTGACCCTTGGTACCCCCGCGGCATCATTTGGAGCCCAGATAGCTTAACTACGCTAGGTTGTTTCCCTAGTTCCCTCTAGGTTATATTAACACCACGGCCTTTTGGTAGTTCTGTGGTGACCGGGTTTTTCACAAAACAATTTCATCAAATCTTTTTCCCAAAATCCCCTTTTTTCCATTTCAAAACAATTCTTTCCCTTTTTCCTTGCCCAATGCTATGCATGAATGCATCATGCTTTTCAATAATATCATAAAGGGGAATCACATACCGTACAAGTCATGTATTCACAATATAGTAAGCTTTGTAGGAAATTTCTAATAATAACCAACATGTCTCTATAATGAAAATTTAGCAAATCAAACACAATAGATATAGAATTTCACCACTTAAACATGCTTTCTCATACAACATCAATTAATTCACATAATTGCATGCTTTAATTCAAATGGAAAATTCTAGAAATATATCTCAATCTTTCTAATCACAAAATTCATCACTTATAACACAACATGCATGAAAACATCTTCATTTAAACATAGTTATTCATCACATATCAACTTAGCATGCAAATACATCTCATATACAACACATAGCAAATTTTACATGAAATATATACAAAATTAATCATGTAATAACACAAATTAGGAGGATTTGACTCTCAACAATCCAAGAGATTATGGATTAGAAGCCCCTACCTTGTAAAAGAACTTTTTCTCACTAGATCACCAAAGCTTCAAGCTCCAAGGCCTCCTCTACAACTCTCAGGTCTCTCTGTGCACTCCTCAGTCTAGGCCTTCTCTTTGTTTCTCAAACTCTCAGCTCACTCTTTGTCTCTCTCTAAATCTTCTCTAATTTTTTCTTTCTCTCAGTATTCATTTAGTGTACAACACTACTCAATATATAATGGCAATCCCACCGACACAAAAACTGCTCACTATACCAAAAAATCAGACCAACTCCACGTGAAGCCCACAGATTTTTGGCCAAACAAATCAGTTAATGGGTCCCGCCACCTATTCCTTTATTTTCCATCTCGGTCAACCCACCTACTCCATTGCTTGTTATCAGACAATGAATATATAAATATATACAATTCATCTCCAAAAAAAATTAGCATGTGCAAAACAACTAAAGTCAAAAAGTGATTGAGTGGGACCCGCTAATATCGCATCATCATCAATTCAATCTATTTTCCTCTCTCACTTCGGCTGGCAGCCCATTGTCACACTAAATTACATTTTATACATCTATATATATGTATAAAGGTAACTAAAACCAAATCAAGCAAATAAATAAATAAGTAAATAAAAAAAAATCCTGAAAATCCAGATTGT